AGGATTTAATATTTAACGCGCTGCAAAAAACAGCCGCAAACTGTTATACCAAAAATACAAAGACAAGTTTACCTCGTTACAAAAAACTCAAAATTCATTCACAAAGTCAGCTTATTATTACCCATAAGCTTTAATTTATAACCTTCTGGAATAGCAAAAAACTCTTTAACAGACATAAAAATATTGCGGTATGAGTGGGATCCCATAACATTTAACTCCTGTTGTCAGCAATCTCAAATCTTGATCGAGTTAGGCTTAAGCCTCTACCCCAACCGATCCAATTTGTCAAAGGCGAAGTGAAAATCAGCGCGTAATCCAAACAAATTCGGGTTCGGGTTAACTGGCCCCATAAAGAAGCTTAACAAATGAGGGTAAGGGCGACCCTTAGCAGCTAATAAGTACCCCAAACAAGTTTCTTAATCCCACACCCAGCATTTTGGCCGCCTAGGTCAATGTACACGATTAATACGGGGACCCTCCTGAATAAAACAACTGGGATCCAGTTAGGGCCATCTGGCTTTAACTCAAATTCTCGGGTGCCTAAAACAATGACTCGACTTCAATGAGAGTTGAACGACTCGCACAAAAAGCCCAGGAAAGTGTTCTTCGAGAGGTAAACGGCTCTGTTTGCCCGGTAAAGTATGCAGCAATATTTTACACATGAAAGTTTTGTGCCGCAGCCAAAAAACCAAGAAAAAGCACCGGACTCTCCGCACTCCGGACAAAAACACATTGTTGGCCGCACGGGCTACATAAATAATTTCCACCACACACTTACTCACTCACCCAGTCCTGGCACTTTGACTAAATGGTGTGTAATAAAATTTAAATTGCTTTTGTCTGGATTTTCTTTTAGTATTGCCGTTAAAGTTGCCTTTGTGATACAGGAATTTCCTCATCTAGGCCAACTTGACAGCAGGGTGGATCCTCACTTGGAAGTACGAAATTAAAAGGAAGGTGATAAAGACTTGCCAAAAAGAAATGTTTAGAATAAATCTGATATTAATATACATACATTAGGTTTACTTCACTGCATTTGCAAATAAAAATGACTGAACAATAAATACATCCAAAGCTAAGTCAATATTTTTCTTCATATCAAAAAATCATAAAATATAAATATGAACTTATTTAAAATCAATTTATAACAAAAACACAATTTTGCAACGTCAATTCATGGTTTTAAATCTTATACAAAATTCTGAATTTGTTATTGGAAAAAATTTCTTTGAATCCCATAGGGTACCCAAATAATACATAAATTATATATATATGTAATATATATTTCGTGTTATTCTTAAATCCTGAACCACCCTGCTGCTTGTACACCTCGACATTTAAAACAATTGCCCCAATTGCCGCTAATTAAATATGATTTAGCCGGCCAGAGCAAACGTCTGTCTTTGGCTGAGCTGTCAATATTTGTCAGGAAGCGGGCGATAAAGCTGCCGTGTCCTTACACTCTCACACAGACGTGTCTAGAACTGTCCCTGACCTCTGACATTAGACCGTGCATGAAACTGGCCTCGGGCAACCAAATTTGTTTATAATTCAAATACCAGAAAAAGGCGAACTATGCAACAGTAACGAACATTGTGGAATTGTACAAAAAAAGAGGCAAGGAAAACACGTTAAGCAAACACGATAACGATACTATATAGATATGAGAAGGGACCCAGTAAGGACAACAAGGACACTGCCGAAACACAAGCAGGCAAATTTATTTCAATTTAAAAATTTGGTCACGCTCGACACAAAAAGCGAGTTAAGCGAGTGGGTTGGAAAGACATAGTTGCTCGAAGTGGAAAGAATGGGACAAGAACTTGGGGCCACTGCCATTTGTATAATTGCTGTCGTGATGGAGGAGTAAACTGAACTCTGCTCGGCACTGCCAACGTCTTGTTCCTCAAAGATTCCCAGTTTATGCCATGACACGCTCCAAGGACGCTTGACAGCAAATGGATAAGGACATTATCATCCGTGGACAGGGGGGCTTAAAAAACGACAATGTGAAAACTAGCCAGCCCGAGGCTAACTGAAGGAGGCTAGATGTTATTGAAATTTGAGATGAGCGCTGGCCAATTCAAGGGCCTCCAGGCTACGTATTTTGCAAACAAAAAATATTACAATTCATAGGATTTCGGTTCTTAAGGGGTTATATCCAGTTGCGATTTTGAAAAAATCGAAATTTTTTTTTTGCCTATTTTGAATGTATATATATCTAAGAAGATTATCTGAAAATTTCAAAATATTCCGGTAAATAGTATTGGAGTAATCGGTGTATTTGTAAAGACGTCTCCCATGTAGTTTAACTAGTAGCCAAAACTTTAAATGCGTTTTTCTCGAAACTATGTCTTCAAAGTCGGTGAGGAAAATTTCTCGGAGATGGCTTGACCGATTGACTTGAAACTTTCACATTCTCTTCTTAGATATTTTTTTCAGGTAATGAGACTTGGAATTTTGGCTCCGACAAAAATTTCGATTTTTTTAGCCACTTCAAAGTTGAAATTTTTGTGCCAAAAACAAAGTTTTATGTTTGGGAGGCCGCCATTTTGTCAAAAATCAAAATTTTGAAAATCCCAAGTCTCATTACCAGCATTTGTCTATTCTTTACGTAATCCTTCTGGTTTTTTGTATTTCTGATCATTTGCACCGGAGATATTTTCCTCACCGCAAAACCCTTTTTTGAAGTGGACCCTCGGGAAATCCTCTACAGGACCGACGGAGTCCAAAAATTTTTTTTTTTAAAAATGTATTCTAAAACTAGAAAAAATTACCTATCTTTTCATATACAACACGTATACATACAATAAATAGCCTCTCCAAAAATAATTTTCAAAAAAGCTCATTTTTTTGGCCTCGCAACTGGATATAACCCCTTAAAAGAACTTTATATATGGGTTTTTAATATTCAATCTGTCTTGAGTAAACGAAGTTAATAAGTTGTTCATTCCATTCAAATAAATAAAATTTAAAAATATATTGATTTTTGTTATAAGGTACCATTTTTGAAAAAAAAAAATTATTTTTAAGAACTTTAAGAAAAATAGTTTCCTTAATTTAAACTTATTGCATATTAGTCTTAAGCAAATCCCCTGTAGTAAAGGTTGGAATATTCTACCAAAGCAAATATTCAATCTGCGTAGTGTACACATTCTTGCCTAAATATTAAGTTATTTCACTGCGATTCTCACGCCGTCATCTCCCTTGAAATATTTATGCAGGAAAGTGAGCCAGCCAGCCAAGCGTCGACGATTTATGACTGGGAATTACTTGATATGCAGTGGCGATTCGAATCGCAGACGGGCAGTTCGAAGTCGAAAGGACTGCAAGTTGAAGGGGGAGTGCAGTAGTAGTAGAATCGGACAGTCCGAGTCCTTGGCCATGGCAATGAGTCCGGCGGACTCGTGTGTTGACATCGATTGACAAGGTGTGCGGGGGGTGGGAAGGAACCTCCAGGTCGAAGGCCACCAACACATGTAGGGAAAACTTTTTCCAGGCGAGTTCGAGTTCAAGTCTGCCGAACAAAAAATAAACGTGAATGTCGTTAAGTTGAGGTAACCCACGTGTTGTCCTTGCCGCGCGTTGAATATGTGCAACAAGCAATGGCAAATCGCAGAGGTGTGGTGCTGGGAATCGGCCAGGTGTCCCTGTCCACTATATATGTCTATAAGTTTGTATGTGGTCACATTGTTGTGGCTGTGGGAACTAAAAAACCAGTTGAGACCACTGGCCACTGGATAGGCACACAAAACTTGTGGCATCCTTGAGGCAATCAACGAAATTATAGGGGAAATAAGAAAAGTTTACGACAACTTTCCGACATAAGAATTAAATGTTTTATCGGGACATAAAAAAAGACGAGAACAAAGACATGCTAAAAGAAATTAATTTTTTATTCATCGAGGTTTGCTTCTGTTATTCGGTTAACGTTGAATTTATGCATAAAAACATCTGGTTGGTAAAAAAGGAAAATGTATAGCTTGTATAAATCGGGTTTATAAAGGATACATTGAATTGAAGAAAATGTTTTTTCGCAAATAAATTCTGCATAGTATTTTATGGTTCCAGAGACTTTCCTTAATCCATTTTAGGTACAATTTTAAACTGTGTTCAAGCAACTCCACAAATGAACCACAAGAACCTTCACTTAGGAAATCATAGTACTTAAATAAATCACGGTTGAGGGCACTTTACCAGCCACAAATAAATCCGTGGCACTATATATTATCAGAGCCATCGAAATAAGCCGTAAACACTAAATTATAGCTCTCCGGGGACACTTACCAGCACTTAGGATTGTCAACAAGAGCCATTAGCATATGATGCGATCCGCAGGCGAACTTAATTCAAAGTAACGAACTGAATTGCTCAAACTAATTATCGGACCGTTCTACGCAGCTGGGCCAACATGGGGTTTATGGAGGGTCCTTGGGGCAAAGTAGGGGCTCCGGATCCACATTCACATCCACATGCACATCCGTGCCCGTGTCCTGGCGACTGATTTATGCTCGCAGGCGTCGCAAAAGCATTCATCCATCGTGGCACCAACAGTATATCCTTCAACTTGACCACCATGAATATCGGTGTGGGTAGAAGGAGGTGGGTTCTTCATACTGCGGTTGCCATTCAGCTGGATGTGTGTGTGTGCGAAATGTCCTTGTCAAACACTAATGGCGTCGTCGCCAGTGCCTTTGTCCTTGCCGGCGTGTTAATGTGCGACAGTTTCCTGCTATGACGTTTCCTTCCAACGAGCTGAAATCGAATTGAAAAGCAGCGTTTTAAAATTCCCTGTTTGTTTGTTCGAGGTAAAGCAATTGAAATATGTTTCCGGCTCGCCGTGAATTCAATCCGTCTCCTTTGGCGAGAACGAATTGGCAGCCAGGACATTTGCCGTGCTCGCATGACGTCCCCGGGGTCATCGAAAGAAAGACTGCATTCGCTTTTGAACGCCTGCCTCCTGATTTATCCTTTTCTCTGACTCGATTTCTCTCTTGCAGAATTTATGCCTGTGCAGTTTTCCATCGATTTTCGTCTTGCGCCACAACGGACTGGGGATGAAACACCAAGCACATAAAACGGATTTGATATTAAAAAAATATGCAGGTAAACAAACGTGCCAATATAAGAACTTTGGGGTGAACCTTACACAACTATAACATATGTTTGCCTCCCAAGACTCTAATTATTTCAAAAACATGATTGGGAAAATTATAATATATACCTAAATAACTTATTTGGAAAATAGCTTATTATTTTACCTTTAAGTTCATTAAAAGCATCATAAATATTTTCCTACACTTTAAACCATTTTTATTTTGTTCTTTCTTTTATTTAAGGGCAACACTGCGTATGCGTAACATTGTTAGGAACTTTTTGGGATTGTTGCTCACTTTTTAGTGCTCATTTTTCCATTACCTAAATCCTATTATCACGCGACAGAACACATTTATCACTTAAGTTAAAACCTTGTTTAGGTTTTGGAAACAATCGTTTTTGTAAATAATACTAAATTACTACTACATTTTTTAAGTTTATTTCCCTTGAAGTATAGAAATTTCCTGAACTGCTTCGGCTTATGATGTTTTGTTTAGAACAATCATAACAAGTTTTGATAGCTTTAACCAGAATATGTAGCGGTTTAAAACGCCTATGTTTTTGGGGAGGAAACAGTGTTTCTGCTTTGAACTAAACAAAGACCGCAGGGCCACCCTAGCCACACATGGTGGCAATATGCTGCAGGAAACTCGGGGAGCCGAACCCCAAACACAGAACACAGAACACCGAACGCCGAACACCAAACAGCGATTGGCGGCACAGAGCGACAAACAACGGCAAACAATGACTTCCAGCCACTGCGGCTTATCGCAAATGCAACATGGCGGCGGCCAAGTCACGTTTCAGCCGCCACTGAGTTGCTGTTATTGCGCGGTAGTTGCCGCTTGTTAACGGAAAAAACACACACAAGCCTTTTGTAATACAGACACACTCGCCCGCTGACATGCATACAAATTGCAAAATGAGGAACTCAAACAAGCGGCAAGTGCCACAGTTTAAATTGAATAAATAATGCGCGAATTTCGCAAGCAGCGTGCAAGGTCGGTTGCTTCAAATGGAGGCACATAAAGAGATGTTGCATCGCCAATGCAAATATTTATTGACACCGCACCAAAATGTCAAAGGCAATCGCTTTTCATCGAGCCTACGCAAGTGCGGAAATTAAATTACTCCGTCAAACGCGAACTTGTTGCGGTCAATTATACCTATTAAATAGCCATCCGAAATTTCTAAATTATCAGGAGGAACTTAAATCAGAAAAGCATTCCACCAGCAACCAAACTGCAATTGCGTTGCTAATTTATTCAAAAATTCTCCGTTTGACTATATTGGCTATTTTGAGAATAGGATACGCAAAAAGTTATTTTTATTTGAATAGGAGAGACAAAATCATTGAATAGTTTTAGCCCAACAGAACTTGGCAAATTGGCATTTATCTACAACAATTGTTTCAAATTTATTCGTAATATGTGCAAATCAAATATTAAAATTAAAATAGAACTTTTCCTCTCTCAACAAAAAAACATTATAACTTTATTAAATTAAATTAAAACTGAAAAAAGCTAAAGTAGCAATTAAACACGTCCAACCTTTTTTGTTGTTTACAGTTTTTGTTTTTCAGCAGTTCCCAGACTTTTAAATGACACTAATGAACAACAAGTGTGCTTTATAGAGCAAGCCAATTAATGTGTTTCATTTATTCAACTAATTGTTATGCGAACACCGTTTATTTATTTATGAACATGGGAAAATGTTACCTCTTCAAACAGAGAGCAGAAAATTTCAGGAATGAATAATAAATTTGAGAAAAATTAAAAAGGTCATCACAGAGAGAGAGATATATAAAAAGAATACAAAAACGGGCAGGAGCTTGTGCAGATATATTCTTTTTAATTTGCTTTATTCAAATATTAATTTAAGTGAATTGGTGTTTATTTAATTTTCTGGCACAATAAATTCCGAACTTTACGTGAGAGAACCATGCTCTTAATAAAATGCACGTCGAACCAAAAGTCACCTCTGTTGAAATACACCTGTACACATTTTTTGTGCAGCACAATGGGTTGATTTTCCAATTTCGCAGCCATACAATCAACACCATTGAACCCCCGTATTGGCACCTGGAAAAAGGCAATTAATCACCCGACGTTTGCACTTTCAGAAACAAGAAAAAAGGCGCGAGCTGCGCCTGAAGCGATTCTGGCGCTCCCCGAAGACAACATCCTCGGAGGACTCGACCGGCTATGAGAGTCCAACAAGGACGAAGGCGTCCAGCGCCGGCGGGAGCAGCGATGCCCAGAGATTTAACCACCTGCACTACACCAGCCTGTCGCAGGGATCGGGCACCTCGTCCTCGGCGGGCGGAGCCACTGCGTCCGGAGCGGGGCCCACCACCATTGGGTCCTCCGGCAGCAACAAGCCCTCCTGCTCGCTGCCACTTTTGCAGGTGTGGCCCAGCCAGGTAGGCACTTGTCCCCCACCTTGCTTTTTTTTTTTCCTACCCACATATGGGAAAAAACATGTTTCAAAATCAGAACAGAACAGTCGAGGTTGATAAAAAAAGTTTAATTATTCAACTTATAAAAAAAAACGATCATACAATATAAATAACTTTAAAAAATGTAAAAAAACAAAGATTACCTAAGAATTTTTATAAATATTTTACATAAAATATATTAAAATCATAAAATAGTTAAATTGCATACTTTTGGGCACCCTTGGTATTGGTGAAAAATATTACAACACTTATAATTTCACCACTACCTAAAATTAAAAAAAAAATTTAATTAATGAATATGTTTAAAAAAGTCTATTTTTGAAACGTGTTTTTTTCCCCTGTGTAAGCCAACAAAAAAATCGTAGACCAATATATGACTTTTGGGGAAAAAGTAACCGCAACAGTTTCGAAAATTGGGGCTTTTGTGTTATATGTACTGATATTTTTTGTAACCACTCGTCGTATGCGAGTTGTTTTTATGCTGTGGCCAGTTGTGCGTTTTTGCGTTAATTTGATTCTCCGACTCTCTATTTCTTCCCACTACACCAACACCAACACCAACACCACCAAACTCCACCAACACCACCAAACACCACCACCCGCCTCAAATACATACAAACCCCTCTGTGTGTGCGTTGCGTGTTTGGTTCGGTTACGGTTATGGTTTGGTTATGGTTTGGCTTTGGATTTGGATTTGGTTTTGGCTTTGGTTCTGGTTCTGATTCTGGTTCGGTTCTGGTTCTGGTTTGATTGCTGGTCTGTTGTGGTAGCCGCTCCTGCGCCAGGAGGGCTTCGTACAGTTGCGTCGAAACAGCGGCCCCGAGGGTCAGCGGGTATGGTTCCATCCAGTTCCTCTTTTTCCAGCCTCTCTAGTCTGCTCCACGTTCTCTAGTCTTTTCTCCACTCTCTATCTAACATATGCTACTCGTAACTCCTAGCTAACTTTTTGCATGCCTCGATTAACTAACTAACTAACTATCTAAGAAAAAGCCCTCAACGAGCTCAATTCGTTTTTAACTACTAACTGTATAAATCTGACCACAGTACCCATCTTGTTGAGGTTATTTTGTGTATTCTACACGTGTTTTTACCTAGATCTCGTTACTCATGTACTTCTATTGGGAATTTTATGCTAAAAACTATTATTTTTTCATGCACAATTTTTGGGCAAGGGCTGGTCGACAAACACTCTAGGAATGTGGTTAATATTGGCCAACAGAACTTTACGCTTATTATTTTTCAGACATTCAAATATTCAATTACTAATTGGAATTTCAAAATAATATTGCATGACTAGCAATTAAATAAAGCTTGTAAGCAAATTAAATTGAAAACAATTTCATTAAAAAATAAATTCAATAAGTATGGATTACTAACAAAATATAGTCTCTTTAAAATAAAATAAAAATTAATTTACTTTTCTTAAGTAAGAATATTTGTACATATTTTATATAAAAAATAATTAAAGCTCTCGAATTAAAACACTATTTTATTTATTAAGGTAGAGGTTTTTTCGGAGTTTTAAAATTGATTTCAATTCTCAAAAAACTTTAATTTGGCTGATAATACATATTCTAACAAATGGTAATGTATTTATTGTTTCTCATGAGAACTTAAATCTCTTTGTCAATCAGCTCTCGCTCAATTGAACCCCAACCACCTCGTGTAAGTAATCTCCCTCCGCCACACCACTTCCCCTTGTACAAAATAATGCAACCCCACCCCAGAGACAATTTTTGAACCACCTAACTAACCAAGTCACCGTGAGAACTAACCACTCCTCCCGAAAGCAGCGACTCCCACACTGCACCGAGAACCGGCTTAACCTCCCCAAATCCCCCAAAATAAAACCCCTTCCACCTGAAAAGGTTTTCCGCGGGAAGTACCCCATCTCATGTGCGATCTGGACTCTTGCAGGATTCGCCGCGCGGCGAGGCGGACGGCCAGTCGTTCGTGTTCCCGGCGATCGTGGAGACGAGTGTCAGCAGCCCGGTAGCGGTGGCCAGCGGCAGCGGGAGCGGCAGCATCGGTAGCACCAGCCTCAGCCTGAACCAGGCCAGGCGGAGCACCAACCACCTCAGCCTGTCCACGGACCGGCGGAGCTCGCTCTACTGTGATACCCTGCACGCCGGCGACTCCGGCATCGACTCGGTGCAGGCCTCGCCCTCGCCGAACGCCTTCATCGCTCCGCCGGGCGTCCACCACGCCCTCCCGCTCGGCCAGACGGGCGGCGGCTCCTGCCACGTGTCGCCCACCAGCACGCCCACCCAGGGCTCCCCGAACCTCTCGCTGGGCAGAAGGGGCGTGAGGAATAGCATCTGCGTGGTGCCGAGCGGCAACAACGGGCGGCGCAAGTCGAGCGCCCTGCTCCATCCGGACCACGCGCGGCTCTTCGCCCTGCGGATGAAGCATGCGGCTGCCCTGGAGCGGGCACAGACCTCGCCGGACCAGACCTCCATCGAGGACGCGACCGAGTTCCACGACAACGGGCTGGCGACCAACCTGACGAACCTGCGGCTGTGCTCGGCCTCCTCATCGACGACGTCGTCGCTGACGTCCGTGGCCGCGGTCAGCCTGGGCGGCGCCGGTGGTGGGGCGGGGGGTGCGAACACCACCGGTGGCTCCTCCTCCGGCTCCGCCTACGCTGTGGGCGCGGCGGGGGTCCAGCAGCGCGTCTCCGATCCCTGGCTGCAGCCGCAATCCGACCGGGAGCGCGACTCCCGGCACGACGGCCGTCGGCGCTCCTCCACGATGACCGCCCGCTACTCGCTCTTCGACGCTTTGGATCTCGAGTATGTCCTGCTGAGGGCCGCCGCGAGGGGATCCGTGGGTCCGTACAGCCTCAGCGAGTCGATACACAAGCTCACCTTCACGCAGTCACTGGCCTTTCCGGCTTTGGCCAGGGGATTGGCCACCAAGCGACGGAGGTCGGCGACGCACACCAGCTCCCGGCCACTGAATCCGCACGAGTCCGGGCTGAACACCTGCGCCAAGGTGGTCACCGCCGTCGTCCTGGTGGCCCTCTCCTTCATGGTGTTCCTCATCGTCTACAAGTTCGTGCGCACGTGAGGTTTGCTCCTGGCCCCGTCGCCAGAGCTCCCGGTCACATATCAGCCCAGCTACGGAGCGGAGGAGGCCTCGCCGGGGTCCTCCGTCATCTCGTCGGCGGGCCGCAGTCTGGGCAAGCACATGTCGGGGTTCAGGAGCAAGTTGGGCCTGCGCCAGCCGGACTTTGAGTGATCCGCCCAGTTGTAGTTGCAAATGCAGTTGCAGTTGGGGCGGGCATTGAAAAAACTGGTCAGCGACATTTGCACTTTAAATGGTTTCGAATCGGTGATTTATACTAAATCGAACAGTACCTTAAATATTATATTTAAAGTTTCTTTAAAGTTGAAAAAGAAAAGGAATTCTTACATCGGTATTCTGCCCAATTAATTAGAAGAGCATTCAAATTTACGAAAGAAACTCTAAAGTTATATTAATCAAATTCATTTGAACTTGTTTTAGATTGAGGTAAATATTCTTAGTATCCTTAAAAATCTGCAATACAATAAAGACTTAAAATAAAGATATTAATTCTCTGAAAAACAGTTCTTGTCAAACCATTAATGCTTAGCAAAAAAGTTGCTGACCAGTTCAATTTTGTGATAAACTATCAATGAAAGCTAATTTTCCAAAACAAAAACACAAAAAAAAACGAACACATTTACACAAAAGAGAAACCAAAATGTAAGTTAATGGAATAACAAATTAAAGGCTTAAACATTTAGTAAAACAGCTTCAAGAGGCTTGCCAGAGTTTCATCAAATTTATAAAATACTTATGAATAATAATATTTTTTTATATATATAAAAGTCGCTGCTCGCATTTCCTAGGCTCCTAATTAGCAAAGATTTTGGAGTAAATCTAAGAATCTAGTTTCATTGTTTGCAGTTGAAGTGCCTAACTAATTTTTGAAAGTATTACAAAGTACATAAAAATTTCGCTTGTTTTGTTATCTTCCTAAAAACGAATTTAGAAATTGGCAGCTGCTTTGAAATGAAAATATTTACGCGCTGCAGTAGTCCACATAGATTTCCCTGTAGACAAACATTTTCAAAGGGAATAAATAGTTGGTGAGGGAATTGGGAGGATATATGATGACGGAGATTAAGTTTTGCATCTTTTATTTTGATTTTTTAGGTACTTGTATCTATTTCTGAATGTCATTAATTTATTAAGTTAAGATGACCTGCCTTATATCTTTTTCAGTATTTGTTTTATTGGTGCATGGGAGCTGCAACGTCAATTAAATAATTCCAATCTATTCCATGTCTCTTATCCTTGTTAACCAAAGCTTAACCCACCTGTTTTCAGTCCTCACAAGCCCCATAACACCATTTTAGTGTTGAATAATTGGCATTAGATTTAAGGATCAGGAATATTGGCAGACGATTAGAACCTACAAAGACAAAAATTTGTACTGAGTTGTAAGGAGGCTAGATGATGGCGAGACGATATGATATGGAAATCCAGGCATATTAAATTAACATATTTATGGTAGCTATATATAGTTATACAAGCAAATAGATATGAATATGTATACATGCATTATATATATGTACATGGGTGTTTATAAATGTATACCTAAGCGGCTTAAATGTGACAAAGCACTTGCTGAAATACCAATACAAACTCTCTACTCTTAACTTGCTGCCTTACTTTCCTCTAGTGAAAATAGTCGAAACAAAAAACCAAGATCGATGAACAAAGTCCCGACTTACAAATTCTTCATAAATTGCTGCCTTACTCTCTAAATGAACGAAACGAAAATCGAACAAAAACCTTTTGAAAGAAACCTCTTTAACTCTCAGAGCTTTTTTCCTGTTTCCTCTATGAGCTTGGCCTACCAATGAACCCAAAAATACGCAAAAAAAAAGCAAAAACATTTTATATAGAGTAAAAAAATATATACTAAATGTAATGTTAAATAATTGATATTAATATTAAAGCTGGCTAAAGTATAAACATTTTGTTGCATAAGCATAGGCTATTCCTTCCTCTCTTTTTTGCATAAATAATTTCTACATTTGTCGACGGCATTCATCAATATTTATGCATAGTTTTACGACCTTCTCTTTTTGCGTTACGATTGGTGTGCAACCAACTATGGTTAAATAAAAAATTGCATATTAAATGTCACCAAACAGAGATGAGAAGAAAATGAAAAAGCAACTGTAACCGTAACTGAAGTAAGTTGAAACGTGCAACAATAAAAGGAAGAAATTTTCAAATAAACCATTCCATTTGTGTTTCTGTTTTCTTTTGTGAGCATTGTGAGCAAGGGAAGGGGTGAACATTAAATTGAAAATACTACATTTTTACAATCGCATTTATGTCTCGCTGTTCCTCTGGCTGCTGGGAACTGCCAATAATTAATTGAGACTGACGTGGCACAAAGGAACTGAAGCTAATGAAGATGATGATGATTTATGGAGAGCCACGATTCCCAGCACATTAAGTCGGTCAATGCTTTTGAACATAGCTGCAGCAAATGAAAACTAATTAAGTTGGTAAGCTTTAATATTATAATAGAACAGAATCATACTTTGACTTATTAAAAACTTCTTGCATTGAAATCAGCAAGCCTGACTTTTAAAACCACAATGATTTAAGTATTCAAAGTTTTAAAGTGGTAAGTAAATAATTAATAGAGCCGCACAACATTTATATTTTTTTTATACAAACACACTCAACACGCACAACATTTTTGATTGAATTAATATTTAATTGATTTTGATAATAGTTAGTTTAAAATATAAACTCTTGTAACGAATTTAAAACACCATTTTATTATGCTTAACAATTAGTTGCCATTATAATTGCAACAGCCAGTAAAAAAGATAATCCGATTAAATATTTACCAGGCAAGTTTACACTCATTAAAAAATCATGCCATATTTGAAGTACATACAAACCACTAATAATTGAATTGTCAGTAAGCTGGGAAGGCTGCACATTTACGTAATCGATTTAACGCAGATTGATGAGCCGCAAGAACTTTACAAATTGCAGGAAATAAGTTGTCTGGGAACTTTGCCCAGTTCGAAATTGCTCCCCCAATCTCCAGTTTTCCATTTAGCCAGGCAATCACAGTCGTAAGTCGGAAAATTCGCAAAGTTCTTTGGGCTTTGTGATAAATCGGCTGTCGTTGGTTGTCTTTTGGGCAAGTTGCTAATCTAAATAATTAAGCAAACTCAATTTGATTTCCCGGGGCAAACACATACACACACACACATGCGTGTAACACCCACTTTTGTGTGTGTGTGTGTGTGGCCAACTAATTTAACCATAAAGGGCAAAGCAAACGCAACTGCCAGACGAAATGGAACGAAAACACTGACTGAAAGCGAGGCAAAGGACATTTGGCACAGATTGCGAGAACTAGGCCAGAACATTTGACGAAAGCCCGGCCGGATTAAAGGAGCTGGGCCGGAAGAGTCCATTGCCACACACACACTCACACACACACCACACACACATATGGTGTTCTGGGGTCTGGTGCATAATTAAGCACGCAAACCGCAGGGAAACAAAAAGAAAAGACCCGAAAAACAAAATCACTGGCTGTGGACGAATCCATAACAGAGGGACAAGCACAATATTCAGGGCGTTCGATTTCTGCTGCTCCGGATGTTCGAGTGAAATGTGTTTCATATTGCGTATACGCAGTGTGTGACCAGCGGGGAGCGAATGCGTAACAATTGACCAAATAATTGAAATGAAATTTTAAACGATTCACTGCATTCGAAAAAGTCGGCCATATATGACGACTTTCGATTTCAAGCCTCTACTTTTGCTGGTATTAAAAGAATATCAACAGCTTTTGTTCGGCTGCACTGAGAAATATTATTGATTTTACTTCAAAAAGTTGTAAACGTTATAAAGCAAAAAAGAGAAAGCGAACATATGTGAAATAAGTATATAATATGCGTTAAACATTATGAAATCGGCAATAAATACATAACCAAATTAAAAATCATAGTTGGGAATGATTTTAGGAAGCTCTTTTCTTTAATATATTGTGAATTTAGGTAAGTATGCTTAATAGATTTTTTATCTGTGCATTTGGGCTGCCGTCTGTGTTGTATTTGCAGCTTTTGATACGCCTGGGCCGTATATTTTTAGCTCCCAAGGTTGCCGCAACATCGGATGCTCATGCGGATGTGGATGATTTGAAAAGTGGTAGGCAACAGTTAGCAGGTGGGTGGTGGACGGTGGGTGGTTCGTGTTTGGCGGTGCAGGGGAGGGGGCTGAGCACACACGAGCCGCCGCCTTGAGAGCCACCGCAAATGCACCTGTTTTATTTCCCCCGCCTTTGTGTTTAAACTTGTTGCAAATACGAGTTGTAGCTGCGCCGAGCATCTGTCGAGGCCTTGACTCTGACTGTCGGTGTCCTTGGGAGAGGACCTTGGACAGAAATTGAAAATTTTGTGGGCCTGCTAAGCGCTGCACAAGAGCAATACATTCGACCTCTTTTTTCGACCCGGAAAGCGGCGAAAAGAAGTTTTGCCTGAAAGCTGGACCTCGACAGAGAACTAAGAATAAATGCATGTAATCAGAAGAGGAAATTATATGTGCATAAATTTGTTTGCATCCGGGTTACCATTTTCGGTTTTAGCAAGCTCCTCAGATTTTGACTTGATTAAAATTGTAGAAGTTTTCGAAAATCGATCTGGGAAACAAAGCTTATAGGAACTAGATGTATAAGTATTGTGCCTTTATATTTGTAATCTATAAAAGGTGTTTATATAATTTTAGAAAACCAGTTAGAATAAAAATTAAAATTGCATACATAAAATATATTTGCAATAGTTTAATTCGTATGGACATAGCCTTTACTAAAAGAATCGATACTTCTAATATACTCCCAACGGCCTCATTCATTCATTCTGTCAAAGTTAATGGGATATTCAATTTATTGAAACTTTAAAAATCTTAAAGGCCGTATTAATGGCAAGCAAATTACTCTTACTGTTAAAATAGTTATAAATCAACAAAATAATGTTTTATTTTTAGAACCCATATTTATTCAAGGTTTTAATCGGGGAATTATTTGGGTAAATGAGTTTATTTACGCCTAAACCGTTGAAAATAAGCTCAATCGAGTTTTCATAGCCCTTCGCAAAAGGTCAAACTAAATTTGATTTAAATTTTAAAATACGCACACGGTGAAAGTAATTTTCCTTCACATTTTGCAAATGATGATCCGCCAAATTGAATGAAGAAGGCAGTTTTTGGGGGAACTGTGTTTTAAAACAAGATAAGACCTTCTGAACCGAACTGCGGCGCAGACCTTTTGCATTTCAATTAAAAATGATTAAAGATACACAAGAAAAAGGTTAAAAGGCGCGCATGCAGCAAAATTTGTTGCGGGCAAATAACTTTCAAGGGGAAAGAAAAACAACCAACCGGAAAAGTAGTGAAAGCAGAGCTGGAAAACTGTCACACACACTCGAACAAACAGATAAACAGTTAAGATTCCCCAGCCTATATATTATATGTACGTACGTATACTTTTTTTGCAGTAGCATATTTTATGCAAACGTAGGCCGTAGGAGTTTTATGGGGGAAAAGAAAGGTCCTGGAACTCTGAAAATTAGTTTGGCTAACTGCAAGGGGAATAGAAAAAAGTGCGGATAAATTTTGTAAAAGCCAAGCCGGAAACTTGGGACTTCAGTGCATCAGAAGCTAAAAGGAGAAGGAAGGAACCGAAAGAAAAGCGCGTGCACTGAGTTTTCCCTCGCTCAACACAATTGGGAAAAGCATCAAAATGTGGAGGGGGTTTTGGGAAAAGAAAAGCGACTCACTGTCTGGATGTCGACGCATGTTGTTGGCTTTTTACATCCTTTTCATTCATTTTTGTTGCCTTATAACATTTCTTTTATGATTTTCTTAATAAAGCATACAGCAAAAAAAAAAGAGCTCTGCCGTATAATATAATTGATTTATCCGTAATGTATGTTTACGAAATATAAGCTTAACATAACTTACTTTTAGCAATCAACGTTTAAAAAATGTATCCAAAATGTCCCATGGTAAGTAACCAAAAGCTTAAATTCAATAAAATCAGAACAAAACAAACAGCTTTAATATAATTTTTTCTTGATTTAAAAGGACTAGAATATAATAATTTTTTTCTCTGTTAGAAACATACAAAAAATTAAAACGTTATTATTTGTTTAGTAAGAGACGTTTTTTAAATAAATATTTAGTTGTCTCTTATATTTTAATTTATGCCAAAATCACGACCAGAAGTAGCCAAAATTTCTACAATTTCAATTCGAAAACATATGCCCTGCGCCCTTGGCTAACGTGTTTTTCCCTCAGCGCGTTTTTTTAATGAATTTTAAATTTAATACAGGCACTTAAACTGGTAGAAAAAAAGAAGCACACTGCCGCGCATAACTATTTGCAAATTCAATGGCGAAGCGAACATATAAGAGGAGTCTTCTTTGGATACCAGTTCGTCCTGCGACTGACAGCTAATTGAGCTCAGTCTGCTCCTTTCGGGCTATTTTACGGCCCCAAGGAACTCGCACAAAAGCCGGACAAACAGCACCTGAGCCTGAATCAGGAACTTATCCCGAAGTCGGGGTAAAGTCTCGGGTCCCGACTGCCCACCCACTCTCGTAAGACAATTATGAAATGCTTTTTTTATAGTCCTATTATTGCCGGGGACTTGGGATGTTTCAAGGCACACAATCGGGCTTTGTTATATGGCCAAGATCGCTTTGTCTTGCCCTGCCGTTGATTAAAAACGTGCATGCATTTGCAGGGAAAATTTAATTTTCCGCTGGGCAAAGGGATTAAGTTTAAAATAAGTCAAAAAAGTAGGCATAAAATCGTTAATAAAAGGTAATTAACCTTAAGCTTCTTACAGAGTGCTTTGTTTCAGGGAGCACCCTTTTTGAGGTTTAATTCGGAATTTAAGAGAGCACCAACAAAGGAAACTTTCGGAATTGTGGAGATTTTTAGGAAGTGAAAATTTAAAAAAGGGTAAAATAACAACATCAATACGTTCTTAATAGGATTTCCATCACTATGGCATTCTTAGGTCATATAAAAATTCAAGCAGTGGCGTAACTATAGGGTGGCAGAGGTGGCCAAATGCCACGGGCCCCCGACCCAAGAGGGCCCCGGCTCAAGAGGCCGATAGCTCAGTTTTTTTTTTTGTTCTATGTGTTATAAGAACCTGTGTATTTTATTTGAATTGATAATATAAATATACATATTTTAAGTTCTGGATCTCTATAAATGTATACAGTGTCGGATAACTAACTACTTAAGGGGGCTTCTCATGTAAAATTTTAAAAAATCGATTTTTTTTCATGTATCGATAAAATAACGTCTTGAGAGTATATTCCCGAAGTTTTATGACTCAACTCTCAATATTATGGAAAATGTGAGTGATCGAACGAGCGCGCTAACAAGTTCAAGACCCACTAACTCAAAACTTTATCATCTTTTCTCAAAACTATGATTTTAAAAACGCGGTACACGATTACGAAGAAACTACTGAACCGATTTTTGATTTCTAAAAAGTGTTTTGCAGATTATACATTGAACGAGAGTATGAATCGCGCCACACGCGAATTGAATAAGTCCGCCATTTTGTTTTTTAGAATTTTCAAAATATGTTTTTCTCATACTTTAAACATGTCTTCAAATATATGCAAAAAATTATTCGTGTAAGTTTTTTTTTTTCCAAGTGAAAAAAATTCCCAAAAAACAACTACTTTTTGACATATTACATGAGAAGCCCCCCTTAAGCGGTTTATTAAAATGACAGGGCCCCATCAAAAAAATTTGCCACGGGCCCCAGATGGTATAGTTACGCCACTGAATTCAAGGTAAAAATCTACAAAAATTAGCAAAAAAAATTGATTTCTAACCGAGTAATCGGTTTCTTGTATAAATTGATTTTAAATGACAGTAAAAATGAGTTTTAAATGCTTTAAGGGGTATCGACGGAACCCAATATTTTTTTTTTTAAATATGAATTCTTAAACTTCGTTAAATTCCCTAAATTTTCATGTTTCAATAAAAAGCCTCTCCAGAAAGCACATTTTATCGCAACATACAACTGGATATAAATTGATTTAAATTGATTTTATTTTGAGTCAGATTGGATGAAAATATTTTTTGTGCCAAAAGCTGTCTTAAACAATATTCTAAAGCTTTTCGAAGTCCGAAAATGTAGAACACAAGTCTGCTAGCCTTCAATTACTAAACAACAAATTTAAACACATGATTTAAAAACAAAGATAAAAGAGAGTCTAATTTGCCTGCACAAATTGGAAGCAATGGATATTATAATTCTTTTGTTTTTGTAAAAGTTAAAAACACATTTTGTGCAGTGAAATTTAAAATAAACGTATTTTAACTGAAAGACTCTGACACCCCTAGATTCTTAACATTGCAGCTGGCGATAGTTGGTATTTTTTGATTAAGCTGCAAACGGGTACACTGTTCGCCGGCTCAAATGCGCCACCAAACATTTTGTAAAATACAATAAGATAAATACCGAAAGTAACATGCAGCATGATGCCGAGGAACAGACTTTCCAGCTCCAAGCACTGGAGATCCGGGAACCGGACGTCAATTTCGACCCTAAAAAGCCACCAGAGTCCGGAGAGGAGTACTTAATGCACATGTTGTACGAAAGGAAACGCTGTCCAGCGGTCGTGACCAAAAGATCGGACAAAATCAAGGATAACGCGGGAAATAACAACTTCGAAATGTTGGAAAGCGTAAGTAGGGATTCTTTCTATTGAATAAATAAGTAATTATTTAAATTATATGTTTCGTAGCCTGCCTTACCGCCTTTTAAGTGCCTGCTGCCCACGCCCGAATGGCGCCATGAACAAGTGAAATCCTTTCAAGCAGCCCGCTCTCAGGTGTTAGTCCTTCGCCGAGAGTTGGTCAATCACAACTACGATCAGTCAGCAGAACCCCCTTTAACCTCAGATCAGGAGAAGTGGCAGGAATTCTGCCGAAATCAACAACCCCTCTTGAGCACTCTTTTGCATTTAAGCCAAAGCAACTTGGAGCACCTGCTGGAACTGCTCAGTAAATGGTTGCAAGTTAAAGACCAGGATAACAGCTCATCAGTCGACCTCCTCCAAGATGTGTGGCTAGCCCGCTGGCTTTATGCCACCTTGGTCTGTCTGCATCTTCCACTGGAACCGTATGTGTTCAGCACCCTTCGCTATATCGCACGATCCTGCATCCACTTGAGGAATCAACTAAAGGCGGAGGAAACTCAACGTGCAGCGCCCTACAATTTATTACTAACACTTATTGTTCAAGTTTTTGAGCAAAGCGATTTTAAGGATTACATTTAAGGTATTCATTTCTCGATAACGTAAGCCGTAATTTAAGCACAAACATAAACCAATTGTATAGGTTGCTAAGCCAAGAAGCTACATGGACATTTTTATTGATTTTTTGAACTTCAAAAACCTTTCACCAGTTAATTTTGAATTGTTAATCGTAAAATGTAATAACTTTTGCCAGAAATAACATAATTCAAGTTTAATATTCAACTAAGAATTGAGCGCCTATTAGGTTACCGGTTATTATAAAAAAAGCTGATTAGTTATTTTCTTCAGTAACTGAATTGAACTTTTTTAGTTTAATGTTCTTTAAGTCAATCTTCAGACTCAAGCTGTTATAAATAACAATTATGTATGCTAAGTCCAAACAAACTCATTAAATTTTGTTCTGATCTATGTCGATTATTACTATCAATTCTTTTGCAAAATGAAAAGGTACATATCTATTTCAAAGGGAATAGAATAGTGTATAAAAAAACAATGATGTTTTTTGCTTAATAATTTATATTTAATAAGCGGGAAACATGCGTCTGTAGGCTTGGCAGATTTCACAACTGTTGTGGTGATCGTCCACAGGATTACTACAGCTGGACAAATGGCTGCACTGCGTCAGCGAGGAACTCTGGCTGAGACTGCTTAATTGAGTTGAGCTCGAACAGGTGGACAAACGTCGCCCCTGCTGCTGTTTCTGCTGCTCCGGAGAGGGGCCTCTCCATCCCGAGTAACTTGGACAACAATTGGAGTTCCTGCCGTGGCACACTGTTCGCTGCTTTCGAGGCTTATCCAAGTGGCCCAAGCAACGGCTTTCCACATGGCGATTTATAGGAGGAATAGGCTCTTCTCTGAAAGCATCGCAACTGCATCCCTTCCTTCGATCCTGAGTAGTCAATTGAGCAGACAGCTCCACTTTGGGAGCCAGGATTCCGGGAAAAGCTGGCGTGGCCTTCATCAGCAACTGGACATTGGAGCTGTGTGCACAACTCAACCGAGGAAACGTGGGCTGCATCACATCCGATAGACTTCCCACGAAATAGGCCAACCGCCGACCGTTCTGCCAGACGGTTATCTCCAACTGTTCGGCTTTCAGTAGTTCGTGCATATCCTCCAGACACTCCACACTTTTAAAATAACCCTCCATCGTGAATTGATCATGGCACAGCATTGGAAACCGCGGCTCCATCGCTCCTGTACGGAAGTAGTAACCCAAGGTCTTGACAGTGGCCTCCAGGTATCCGTGGGAACAAAGCCAAACGCCGGGACACGTGAGCTAAATTGGAAATAGTCTTGAAAACATAAACAATACTGTAAACTGCATAACCAACCGCATGAAGTTGCAAGTCTAACTTCACGTAGAATCTCTTGTGTGACATTTTTTAGCAAACTTTAAGGGAAAGTTTATTTGACTGGCGGAAAGGGGCCAACTTGGCGGTTGAGATTGGGGATTGGGGGTACAAGGCATGGTTCTTTGTTTTGGAGCCACCGGTTGCCGGGGCAGCGGTTAAAAGTGAAATTCAAAGCCGATTAACTGTCGATAACAGGGAAGGGGCTGTTTGATAACCGAATATGGACAAATTAACTTTTCTATTTATTTAGGGCTCATAATGAATTCAAGTCTCCAATGGTCTTTTTGAAAATTTTTTTATTTCTTGCCCCCTTCAATTTAGTTTGTAAGTAAAAATATTAACAATAAACAAATATTAAACTTTGGTAATCAGCGGATTGCACTTTGTGGGGTTACATTATAAATCTACAGCTGTTTTCATGTGACCGATAGTACATTTAAGTATTTTCTCATCACTAGATTTGATAACGAATTAATAACACAGAGTATTTTAAACCCAGGACAATGTCAACAGTATCTGAAATACCGGTACACTTGCCAAAACTTTTGGCACTATTTAAAACTATAGTACCAAAGTTGGCTGATAATAAGCATAAGGGACAATATGGACGCATTGCCGTGATCGGCGGAAGCGAGGAATATACAGGTGCACCCTATTTCGCTGCAATTACTTCGATCCGTGTGGGAGCAGATTTGGCTCATGTGTTCTGCCATTCAAAGGCATCGCCAATCATAAAATCCTACAGTCCCGATCTGATCGTACATCCTGTTCTGGATTGCCCAGACGCAGTAGATAAAATAACACCGTGGTTGGAACGACTTCACGTAGTTGTGAGTACTTGGCAATTAAATAAGAACTATTTATAATCAAGAACTATTTTTAAACAATCTAATTCAATTTAAGGTTATTGGCCCTGGATTGGGACGGGAACCAAGTGTCTTAAAAACGGCATCCAACATCCTCAAGCTTTGTATGGATATTCAAAAACCGGTTGTTATTGATGCCGATGGACTGTTCCTTCTTAATGATAACATTGACTTGATCCGTGGGCAGCAGAATGTAATTCTGACTCCTAATGTCATGGAATTTCGGAGACTCTTTGGGGAGGATATCAATGCTGCTCGTCAGAAAATGTCCCTGCTTGGAGATGGAGTTGTCGTCCTTGAGAAGGGCGCCAATGACAAAGTTTATTGCAACGAAATCTACTCAATGCCAACAGGTGGTTCCGGTCGCAGATGCGGTGGCCAAGGCGACTTGCTTAGTGGATCCTTAGCTACCTTTTTCTACTGGTCGTTGCAGTCCAATCAACCAAATCCTGCCTATATTGCTGCATGTGCCTCAAGTTATTTTGTTAAAAGACTGAACTCGGCTGCGTTTCAAAAGTTTGGACGAAGTTTATTAGCGAGTGATATGGTTAATGAAATACCCGCAGTGTTTCAGGCTGATTTTGAAAATAGTGTCTGAAACTGGAACAGGCTATATTCCCAACAAAAGTTTTTACATTTTAAGAAAGGCCAACATCAAACTAAATCGTATTTAAGTTTGCGAAAAGGAATATAACTACATACGTACGAATTTATTCCAAATTTCTTTGTTAGTAATGTTTGCATTTAATTATTCTTCATTTAATCTATTTCCCAACGCTTTTATACGAGGGTCTCACTTTTTATTTTACACAATTTAAGGAAAACACCTGTTTTTGACATAACTTTTCGAATTAAAAATAACAACATCTGTTCCTTAAATTCAAACTATATAACAAAAAGAAGAACTTATGTCGTTCACCTAAACCAACTAATTGGAAAAGCATTCGGAATTTTTATCAAATCTTATGAACACATATCTATATATATTTTGTTGCTGTCTGGGTTTTGGTATACCAGTTATAAATTACTATAATTTAAAGGGCAAATAAGAATATCTACGAAACATAAAGTTTAAAAATAAATACTTTTACTCGTTTTACGGATTATCATCTTAATGGAAGACTCTTAAATAAAAAACGGACCTTTTGCAAAATGTAAAATTAAAAACATTTTTTAAATGTCGAATTCTTTTCAAAAATCAGTTGAATAAAATTCCATATTTCAAAAACCGCGATACAATTTGGCGACTAAAAAGCTAACTTATCAGAACTGCTGACTTTAGCGCTTTAGAGCACTAATTCTTATCGCGAGCGGCATTTCCACGTCAGGTTTATTGTTGTTTTCAAAATAATCACTCGGCGGATATGCGCTTTAAGGGACTCACTTCCACTCTGGGACTCCTCGTCCTCCTCCAGTTAACCAGAGGGGACTCCCCCGAGGAGGAACAGGGAGTTCGGTACGCAAATCGCTGTGAGGCTTGCAAAATTTTGGCCACCGAACTGGAGGCCCGGCTTGGAGAAACTGGAAGATCCCACGACGTTATAGAGATTGGTTACTCTGTGGACGATGTCAAGCCCAAGAAACGCACCGAGTACAGAAGGAGTGAACTCCGCCTTCTGGAATCCGTGGAGAACGTCTGCGAACGAGTGCTGGAGTACAATCTCCACAAGGAACGCTCGGACAGCACAAGATTCGCAAAAGGAATGTCGCAGACCTTCCAAACCCTTCATGGACTGGTAGACAAGGGTGTGAAAGTCGATTTGGGAATTCCCTACGAGCTGTGGGACAAGCCACCAGTAGAAGTCACCCAAATGAAGACTCAGTGCGAAAACATGCTGGAGGAATACGAGGAAACAATCAGTGATTGGTACTTCAAGTACCAGGATCAGAAATCCCTAAAGAAACATCTCTGCGAGGATCATGTCCTCAAGAAAAAAGAGGAAAGGGAGTGTCTCAAAGAGCAAATTGCACCACCAAAAGCCAAAAAAGCCGAAAAAGAAAAAACAAAAGGCGATAAGGAAGAGCTGTGAACTTAAAACATCTCCAAGAATTGTGTGTCCATTTCGAAAAAAGCACGTGAAAAAAGTGTTTGAACAAAAAGTTCAATTCTAAAAATTATTTTTGATTGCCTTAATTGAACTGTAGGTTATACAAAATTTTTTCGCTTCTTTTCGAAATGGAAAACACAGTCAACTTTAGTTACCTATAGATCAAAGCAAAAAGTGTTTTAGTATTCTAAGAAAACTCACTATGTCTCCTAATTTTATTTGTAAACCTTCCACATTGACTGAACTACAGAGTGTTACTGAAATTTTCGCCTGGGGCCATTGGCTTATTGATTTCGGCCACGAATTGGGGTCGACAATTAAAAGTTGACTGCCCTCAATGAGGTAGCATGCTTGGACCCCAAAACACCACCGCCAGAAATGCCAGGCTGTCGCCTAAGTATTTACAGAAAAACATATTTATAAATAAGATTTCAAGCATTTCCAGGAAGCCATTGTATCGAATCAAAATGTTTTCATTATAAAACTGAAATTTTAATAAAAAGTATTTACTGTGAAAATTTAAAAATCTTCTCATGAAGCTTCAAGTTTTTTTAATAGGACAGTTAAGTACTGATACTTTCTTTCAACTTAAATTATCCTTGAATAAAAGGGCTTTTTAACTGTTTGTAATAAATACGTTGCGTATATTTAAAAGTAAAAAATATTATATTTCTTATTGGGTTTTGGATCTTTGAGTTCTAGTTTGAAATCACTACGGGTTCTAGTTTGAATCGCGGGGTTTTTCAGTTTTGCAAAATCATAAACCAATTCGAGATGGCGGGTGCAAAAACCCCTTTGATATTAGTTAGCTTAGAGCTTCATCACATCCCAGGGATCGTCCATATAGTGCAGGATGGCTTTCTCGTGCAGTCTATCTCCAAAAACTTCCCGAAGCAACCGCAGAACACGTTCCTCAATAAATGCCACCTGATCCTGAGGGCAGTAATCGTCTTGAGCAGAATGGGCCATCGTAATGGCCACCGGTGGAACTGGAAGTCGTTCTATGAATCTCTTGAAGTTCGCAAAGTACGTTTCCAACTCTTCGGCGGTGCTGATGTGATGGGGCAAGCCATTATTGTCGGTGGTGCTGCCCGAATCGAAAATTAAATGCCAGTCGATTTCATCATCTGGATACTTTTCTTGCAGCTGCTCAGCCAGTTTTACGATCTTAGCATACACTTCAGGAGTGACCACAGTCTCATCTGGCTTCTCCAGTCCCTCGAAGTTGCGCTCCTCCTCCAAGTGCCAGAAAATCGTCTTCAGTGCGTCCAACTGAGTCTGCCGCCTGTCTGCCGTGGCCAAGTAATCGGCGATTGAAGCAGTGCCAGACTTTTTCACCTTCTCCACGCTTTCGAAGTGGAAGATCTCCTTTAGCTGATTGTAGCAATCAGCATCCTTGTAGATCTCTAAAAAGGGATTGGAGGTGCTAAAAAAGTCCAGATCTATGTCCAATATTAATCCCTTGGCATCCTTATCCGTCAAGAATTCGTTGGGATTAAGGTTTTCGTTGTCTGCGTCGTGAACCTGCAGCTCCACGCTCTTAGCATCCTGGAGATCCTCGGTGGTGCAGTAGTTGCCATCGGCTATAAAGTAGTCCAGCGGACAGTCGACGCCAATTCGGTCGTCCTTTTGGCCGACTTTGAAGTCGTGCCTGCCGGTGGGCAGCTGCTGGCACCACGAGTTCTTCAGCCACACCACTCGGTTGAAATGTCCTAAGCGAAAGAAAGATAAGCATAATTAGTTATGATTCGAAATATGAATTACTGGCTATAAGTTTGGATAATTTTTTTAATTCTTAATATTTTTCTTTAAGTCTATTGAACATTAAGGAAGCATTAATGTATTTTAAAGTTCAGAACTTCACAGTTCCCAAGGGAATTATAATAACCTGCATATAAAGTGGGCATAATCCAGTTTTCGATGCTCAGTTCGTTGAGCATGGTGTCCTTTTCGTACGCCGAACTGGCGGCAATATGTCGCGGTATTACCAGATCGGGATGAGAGTCGAAGTGCACGAGGGTGTTGTTCTCCAATGGAAGGTGACGGGTGGCCAAACAGCGGTAGATGAACTCTAAAACATCGTTGTGATAATCCACGATGAAGACGGGAATGCGGTGGAAGTTCCTCGGACTAGCTTGGGTGCAGTTTTGGGAAGTTCGCTCTGCGGGAATCAGCAGGGGAATCTCCTCGTCATCGTCGAATTCTTCGCTGTCCTCGTCTTCCTCCCGACTCTCATCTTTTTCGTCTGCAGTCTTTTGTCTCTTTGTTGGCGGCGCCTCCTCCCCCTCAGGCCCCTCGCCTTCACCCACACTTGGCACCCATTTCTTCGCACTTTCGGGACTTTCACTTTGCGATAACTTTTTTAGGGCCGCCGCAGCACTTTCCTTATCCAGCGTATCCGATTCCATTTTCCCGGGGATTTCTCGGTTTATATCCTTTGTTCCAAGCACGCTTTTCGTTAACTTGCACAAATACAGCAGACTTAATTTCTTTTGTATTTAATTTCTTTGGGGGTCTTTGACCACTAACAGCTGTTGAACAGTGCGACCAGACAGTGCTGATAAAGTAATCCCTCATGTTGCCAAACTAAGGCCTAGCATCTGTAGCATTTGTGTAAAACTATCGATAACACCGATGTGCCGGCGTTTTTGAAAGTTAAATTTTAAGAAAAAAAACTTTTTTTGTAGAATATTAACTTTTGTTAAAACGCCACAACACAAAATTTTAATTTTAATTTGGTTTCTGTTTTTTGATAAGAAATAGGTCAAAAATAAAAACTTGTCTTAATAAAACTATTCGTTCTTAGGGCCCAAAATTAAAAGGATAAAGGATATCACTTTAAACAATTATTCGTTTAAAAAAAATAAAAACATCAAATTAGCATTTCTACGAGCGCCGATTGTGAAGTCTTCAATATCTTAGACTGTTAATTAAAAAAGCAAATTTTTTGTACACCTCAAAAAATGGAGCAAAATGTAAATGTACTCTATGAACATTTTATGATACACCATGTATATGAAGTACATAAATATTGTTAATACAAGAATGAACGCTATCATCGAGTTCCCTGATTTAATGGTACCTTATATTCCGCATTGGAAGCAGTAATTTTAAAAAAGTGTTCAAATGTGGTTTAATTTTTCTAGTAAAATATTCCAAAGATTATTTTATCATTAGCAATTAAGCCAATACTTTACTTTAAAAAATGGGTAGCAAGCAATCCCAAACTTCTATGTTCTTAATGATCATAGGGACATAGGACTGGCCCCAAGTTTCTAATCAAGAATTTTGTGGAGTCAAATGATTTTTTCTTTACCTGATACATACTGTTTATCAAAACATACTTCCTTATTTTTTAAATTTCCATAATATTTCTTATTGAGCGATGCTAATTTCCATATGAATCTTGGTCAAACAAAGTGCAGTGTCGGTATGTCGTGTCGAATGTGACAAATGTTTTTGGTTAAAATGAGACCAATAAGCAAACGAAAGTGTTGCCTTTTTTTAACAAAGTCATAATAGGTCGTGTTGTTAAATTTATTTTAAATTAAAGTGAAATTATAAATGTCTAGTATAAATCTCTTTTGTTAACGTATTCATCAATGTAACATGATCCTTACCAGAATTTATGTTAATTTATGGGACTTAATGATTGAGAAAATAAAAATGTAAAAGCAAACAACTATTATTATAATAAATGAGGAAAAATTGTACAATAAGGTTTTTTTTAATCGAAAAACAAATAGATTTTTTGTATATCATCCTTTTTTAACTAAAACGTATGAAATCAGAGATTATAGTTTTAGATACTATGTCCGTTAGACAATTTTTTTCAAAGAGCAGTTCATTAATTAAACAGCACTTTACAAGCCCAGCCCACACAGAAGCTCTTTACAATCCGCAATCCACACATCTCACACTGCCCAGCCCCCGCCCCCGCACCCGTCCGCGGCCTGCCCACCTCGAGCCACCCACATTTCAAGGTTACTTCACATTTGGAGACTTGGCCTCCAATCAATATTCCGTGTGTATCCGAAGCTCGGACGCTTGGCATAATATGATTGCCATTGAGATGGGCTGAGAAAAGGTGGCTGTGGAGCTTTCAGCCCGCAAAAAGCTGGCCCAGCGGGTCGCCCACGCTCCCCAGAAGCTTTTCATTCATAAGATTTCATTATATATGTGCAAATGTGTATTTTTTGTTGTCGGACTTTTTGCTGTGGGGAATTGGACGCCCACATGGCTGATTGGAATGCGTAAAATGCTGCCGCAGTGTGTATCTGTGAGTTTGCGACTGTGACTTTGTATCTGTGCGTTTGTATCTGCGGCTGCCTTTTTTCGCTTTTCGCTTTTCGCAGCTGGTGGAAATGAATGGCGGCCTGGTGGTCTGGAAAAGCGCCGACTGCGCTGCTCGGGCGTTGGCGTGCAATATTTCCGCCGTCGAGCGTTATCAAAAATATAACTGTATACCGACATTCGTGGGTGTCCCTGTACATACGGCGGCACTCTTCTTTTATTACCATTTTGGCCAAGATATTACGTGGGCGGTGACACCCTCAATGGCAAGCCCACAATTCCCAGCACGCGAACGCTTCAGAACCCAGTTTTATGTAAAGTCTCTACTACAGAAGCTATCTTAACCAATTGGCTTAGCAAAAATATCTTTCTTATCAGCTCTGGGCTTTTATTTGATTTTTAATGCTTCACTTCCAGATTTGGTCCAAATCAAACAATTTAATCTTTTTACAACATAAATAATTAAATTGAATTATATTAGAAAAAATCTTTATTTTATATCTAATAAAGATCTAATCTTTATAAAATTATGCAAATTAAATTATAATATATCTGCTATTTCACCATGTTATCCCTATGATTAAACTAGCCAAATACTTACTAGAAAGGAAATGCATATTTTAATTATACTCAAATTTGATATAGCAAAAAACTGGTTTTATTTGAACGGATTAATTTAATTTTTTTCTTTTTGTTTGAAAAGGTTATTAAATGAATTCACGAATTGCTTATTTTTCCTTTAAAAATTTCAAGGGGTGGAAGGCACAAGGCCTCATTAAGCTTTCTATACTTGATTCACAAATTACTTGGGTCAACATAATTAACGAGCCTGCCAGCTCATTGCACACTCAACAAAATTCTAAAGAAGTGACTACTGGATGGGGAAGTTTTCTGATCGGGGGACATCCCCATCCTCCATATTACAACGGAAGTGACAACATGGAGAGCATCGGCCCCTTAACTCATCATTTGATTGAACCAATTGCCTGCAATTTGGCCTTAAATTGTTGTTCTTGTATCAATTACAGTAGCTCCGCGCTTTCTCTAGCCGTCTCACCCAATTCTCGCAATTAATTTGCCTTCAGCTTGACCCTGTAGGTCAAACACTGTGTCGCATTAACCTTCGTTAGCCCCTCCGCCGATTCAATTGAAGGAGGATAGCTGGCGATGGCGAAAAAGCTGGGGAAGAGCTGTCTGAAATTTCTCCGCTCGGAGAATTTTCGCCGCTCTAGTTTAAAAATATAATCTCGTTAAAGTCAACACCCAAAAAGGATGAAAAACGTGGGGAGATTCAGAATATACAAAAATAAGTTTATTTTTTGAAAGAAATAAACAGAGATAAAAACTTTGAATGCACCATAAATAAAAAATCAACTAAACTCCTTAAAGTCGGCAAACACTGTTTTATTACTTGTTATTTCTAACGTTATTAAGAAAGTTATTTCCTAAAACCAATTAAACTACTTATCAAGAAACAAAGTTCTAAGAATCTTTTGGCAATCTTAACACAGATCACATAAACACGATTCATCAAAAACACATTTATAAAGAGTTAAAAAAAAATGAAATGAAAATAGAGGCTTTTGAGTTTCTCAGAAACATGATTTCGCAATCAATCCACCGTAAAATAATTGCAGAAAATTCATTGAGCTGCCACCGGAATGACGTCAACCGGATTGGATTCTGGCGTAGGTTCGCTCCCTTTTCATTTCCTCCCGTGTTTTGTTTTTTTTTATCCCCATTTGAAAGGAACACGTGGCTGCTGCTGGTTTAAGCCACCGAGAGCTGAGTGAAATGGCCAAAGTGAAATGAGTCAGGGGTCCAAACGGCACAAATTCCAATGTGAGTACAACCAACGTCATTCGAATTTCAATTCGCTGAATAGTCAGTCTGTTGGTCAGGTCGCAGTTTGTTTCGTATCAATCGCAACTTTTGCTCGCGTGGGCGCCCAAAGCCAAATAATTGTTTCACATCTGTTGCCCCTTTCATCTTCTTTAAGTCGTCTGGAACAGGTTTGAGTTTCTAGCGAATTTGTCACAAAGAGACGACGACTTAAACGAATAAAATTAGTGTTTGGAATTATTTTTTTAACTTGCCATGAAGTGCTTTAACTAACAAATATCAAACCGCTTAAAATATTTCTTTATTTATTCATTATTTTAAATAGAATCTTATTATTTTCATATTTAGTTATAAATTGGATTTTGCGTATACGACCTGTATAACAAATGGGACTACAACAAAATGCGTGTATAATAAAATAGGTGTAAAATCAAAATACGGTAAACTCAAAAATTGGTAAAGTAATAAAGGTATAACAAATAGTGTTATGAAGCGTTTTTACGTAGATTTACTTTGTTGCTTTATTTAATTAACAACTTTTTGGCTTTTATAATGTGATCAACACTTGTCTGGAACAACGTCATCGGAGTGCCGCATATTTCAGGCGTTGGAAAGGGGAAGACGTCGAAAAATATATATAGAGAATCTGTGAGATATAGCAGCCTCTTGCGTCTGGTCAAACGTCAAACACACGTCGATCGTCGATCGTCGATCGTCGGCTGGCGCCCACCGACATCCGCTCTTCCAATGGGCGAGTGATTCACAGAAACAACGTGGAACGGAACTCTGGGGGCTGGACTCCAATGTGGGCTGGTCATGTACCAAATCCGAGTGCGAATAAGTGCGTGAGTGTACGACAAGTATGTCTGATCAGGCGGAACGGAAATATGAATGGCAGATAAGCGGACGTGCCAGTTCTTAATCCCATTTCAGTTGTTTTAGGTCAGTAAAGCAAATGCAAACTAGCGTGGGAGAATACTTCTGTGAAGTTGGGAGTGGGTTTGAGTGGACGTTTTTACAGAAGTACATAAACATTTCCTCAGGCTTAATAGTTTTATCAGAAAAAAGTTAGTTGCAAAGCAGTTACATTCATTCATATGTAGATTACAATTAAAGGGACCTTATTTATATAATGCCTATAATGATAACATAAATAACTTAAAACATGTATTAAAATATTACACCCGTTTAACAAAAAGCACATGTTTTAAGTGGAAAAGTTCTTACTGTAGCCATATCATGGACGACGTCACACGCATGAACGTGGAAAATTACTTTTAATTGCAAATCACGATGATCCATTTTTTTAGTCTTCCAAGAACTTTCCACAGTGATAAATATAATAGGAATCGGAAATGGCCATGACTGAGTGTATATTCTATATATTTCTAAGCACTCCTACGAGCGTCATCATCTCTTTGATTTTGAGGAGTTGATTAATCAGAGAGTCAACTAAAATGCCGTCACCTGCACCGTTTGATATAGCCAATCGTGAGGTGCAAAAAATTTAATTTAATTTTTCAGATTACAGCCATAATACAGATAATGCGCCAAGTGATTCATTCAGTTTAAGTAGTGGGTTGGGTATTCCCTTTTTGCTGGAATTAGACTTTGAACTTGGGCCATCGAAGAACGGAGCCCCAAGGACTGACCTTGGATTCTACACTGGTAGAAATAAGTGTGTTGCCAAGGTCAACCCCTGAGACATGCGGCGACGTTCAATTGAGCAGCCTTTTGAAGTAAGCTACCCAGGTGCTCACTTCAAATTCCTACATACTTCAAGGCGACACTCAGAAAAACTGTTAAGGACTAGCAAGAGATTTAAAAAATTGCACTTTAGTTAGTTGTCATTTAGAAATCTAAGCAAAATTCGAAACATAAACATTTTCAAACTTTTTTTTAATATAATCTCAATACAAAAGCAATTTCTAAAAAATCCTATTTTTAAGGAAACGATATTAATTTTTCAATAAAATAAATGTATAAAGTAAAAACAATATTAGAGTAGTTGAGCTGCATTCTAATTTCTATATTCGTGCTAATTAAAATGCATTGTTTGCTTTAAATGGTTGTTCCTTTGAATTGTCAACTTAGGAAGTAATGTATTATTTTTCCCAGTAACTTCTACCTCTTCTTTGTCACCCCGGTTTCAGACGAGCTGGTGGACGCCCACGCGCCAGGGCCAAAAGCGAAGTAAAGTCCTGGGGAATTACGCCCCGTGCCTGCGCTTCAAGTGGCAACCTTGCCCAAAGCCGAAAGTGAGCAATATCAAAGTGCGTGGGTTGAACATAGATTTCGTATCCCCGTTTCTTTCTCTTTCTTTGCCCATCTTTGTCCCTCTCTGCATTTCTTTCTTTATTTCTCCAACGGATTTTGCTGCTGCGTGGGACTTTCATTCATGAAAATTTTGCTTGAAAGTCGTCGCTTGATATGGATGTATGTACCTGAATACATTCATATTTATATACGTACATACATACACACATAAAGGCACGTTGTACTGGGCTTAGCCAACTGTATATTGGTTATGTGTTGTACATAAAGCTGGTGCAACGCAGGCGCAGCACAAAATTTGGCTGTTTGTGGAGAAATTTTTGCACGCGCCGCATATCCTTGAAATTGTCCTTCCATGCGATTTCTCTGTGTGCTTTTATGTGGGACCTTCTTTTTGTGTGTAAATATCAGGGTCATGGTTATAAAATTAAACATTTTGTGGAGTCTCCAAAATAACGGCAGCTTCGTGAGAATTTCCGTTTAGCTTTCGGGAAAGAGAACACTGAAACTTCATTGATGATTCTTTTGCGTTTTTATACTTTCTTATCATCAGGCCTATGTATGTATTTCCAAGTTTTTTTTAAGTAGAGTAAAATATTTACTGCGCTCTCGCACAAAAGAGAGTAGTTATAAAGTTAATTGGAGAAAGATAGGTTGTGGAAGTGGGAGGGAGTTGTAGAAATGCGAAAGAGAGCTAGTTTGGCTGGCGAATTCAATGAATCAACACAATCACACGCACTTGCTGTCCCACGCACACAACTGCATAAAAATATCAATGAACTTTACATTAAACTTGCGAGCGTATGCAGTGTGGAGAAAAGTGGTGAGGAGAGAAAGAGAGAGTGCGGGAGAGTGTTGGAAATTATTCTTTTGGAGTCAATAAATTATTTCGGTACGAAATTAAAATATGTATTTACGTTTCGAAGTTAAAACATTTACGTTATGAAATTAAATTATTTCGTTACTAAATTTTTTTCGGTAGCAATTAACGAGGAATCTTTAAAATTTTCGTTTTTTAAACACAATGGTTTTTAACTTATTTTGGAAAATTAATTTTGAAACTCTTGAAGTTGATGAAGTATGAAGTATAAAATGTAAACGTTTTTAAAAATAAATTTCAAATTTTAAAAGCGATTAAATTTTTCATGTAATTTTTACAATATTGTGCCTACAACAACGGTCCGCTCTTTCGCTGTGCAAATTTCCAAGTGGGTTGTCAGTGCACTGGCTCTTGCTCACCTTTTTGGAGACTTAGAGTGTATGAACGATTCTCTCATCTTAGATTCTCTTTCGTGTACCTGTGTGTGCGGGTCAGTGATGCCAAAAATCGATGGGCTTAAATAGTTTAATTGAAAAGAAATTAACATGCAACAACAAAAACTAAATTACACTTTATCCACAATTTGTCAAATGTTGAAACAAATAAATAATTTAAGGTATGAATGATATTTTGTTAATATCGACAAAGTTTTTTTGGTGAAAATTATTGGGAGTATATGTTACCTTGCTAAAATTAATATTTTAATATTTACAAAAATTTAAAGTAAAATTTATAATTTAGAAGATGCTTGCATTTCGACACTATTAATTGAACTTGTTTTTCGTTGAGTTTCTTTTCTATTAGTTTTACAGATTATAAGACGATATTTAGAGAGTATTATATGAGGAAAATCTTTTTAAAAGTAGCTAGACTTATAGCTAACATAAAATACAGCTATCACAAAAATATAGCTAAAGTAGCAGCGCTGGTGTGGAGAGCAGAGTCTATATAAGCAACTCGCTTACTGCCTGATGGGGAATTTTGTGGGAAATTTTCGTGGGAGTCGGTTGAGTTCGTTCGCGCAGCGCGTTTGCTTTCCATTCAAAAAAAAAAACATCAACAAAAATATGGATATTTGATTGGCACAAAGTAATAACCTATTTGTTTGGGGAAATATTCAACGATTTCGGATGTTTTAATTACTCGCCGACAGGTTTCTCCCTCCGTTCACCGCACGTTTTTTTCATTCGATTCGGGACGGTTGTTGTTGTTTTAGTGAAGCACACCTACAAAAAATACAAAACCACTCACACACACGAAAAACATACACACGGTTGTGATTTGGCGCGCTCTTGTGTGCGTGTGTATGTACAACCAAAACACAAAAAAAAAGAAATTCGGAGTGCAAAAAAAAACAGAAAAAGGCAAGCGATAAAATCGGAAAGCCAAAAAAGCAAAACAGTGCAAGTTACACTTTTCACAAATCGAGGAAAAACAAGAAAATTCCGTTTCGATTTCCAAGATTTTCGTGTGCGATTGTGTGTGTGTGCAACAGCAAATACCAATACCCACACTCGGTAAGAAAGAAGAAGAGAAGCAGCGCGAAGCAGAAGAAGAAAGATGATGTAAACTTTGTTGTAACCAAAAAAAAAAAAAAAACAAAAGAGTAAAGCAGTGAAAAGAAGAAAACGGGAAAAGTTGTACTGCGTATTCTTCCCATTTTCGAGTGACTGAGAATTCTTCAAAATGCCAGAAACGGAGCAGGAGAGTTGCAACAAAGAGTGGCTGCAATCGCAACTACGCTCCCTTGACTCCAAGGAGCTGATTCTTCTGGACTGCCGGGGCTCCCACGAGTATAGTGAATCCCACATCCGCGGTGCCGTCAACCTCTGCATCCCCAGCATCGTCCTGCGGCGGCTGGCAACCGGAAAAATCGACCTGGCCTCGACGATCAAGTCCCCGGAGCTGAAGGAACGCATCCAGTCGGGCTACAAGCTCTGCTGGTTCATCCTCTACAACGGAGAGGGCGTGGCCAATCAAAACCAAGAGATGGTAGGCGCTGGATCCTTCGCTATCGCCATGGACTCCATCATCAGTATCCTGCATCGCCGACTGAAGCAGGACGGCTGTCGAGTGGTTGCCCTACAAGGTAAGTTCAAAGTTCTTACAGATAAAATGACTTACAACGGACCTTTGCAGCCCCAAAAAAACCAAAAATCAAAGTAAAATTTTAAAATGTGGCTAATTATTTTAACAACACAAAAATAATAAGTCCAAGCTTATATTCTTTTGATTTTTTTTACTTTAATATTCTGATTTCTCTAAAGTTCAGAAAAAGTTAAAGCAAAACTACATATTTGTTTTTAATACCTAACAGAATAAAGATTTAAGATTGGTTCCAAAATCTAAATTTCCTATTACTCAATTTTTGACTTCCAGTAAAAATTAAAAGCTATAAAAATTATATATATTAAAAAACTTAAAAAAAAAGTTTATTGTTGCTGTTTTCGAAGCTTAATTTTAAGTTTCAATAGTTCAACACTTACCTAGCTTTTTAATTTAAAAGTTGAAAACAATAAGTCTGTTCTAACTAAACGTTAGCAGAATATTTAACCTTGCAGATAATTTTATTTTCACATTCCTTAAATTCAGAAATTTCCACCATTATTCTAGTATTAGGTCCCTAAAATCGTGCTACTTCCCTACAGCGTTTACAAATCAGAACTGCACATTCCATTCCAACTCAGCATTTCAATTTGATAGCCGTTAACTAAGTAGCCAGTTCTTGGGACGTGTTTAAAAAATCTTACTAATTAAAAGGTAGCGGAATATTTTTCACCTAACTTTAATTTAGAAATTCTCACCGTTTTATGTGGTGCCTGTAACGAAGAAATAAAATCTTAAACTGTTTATTGTTATTATAGTATCAGATTCTTTAAATACCTGATACATCCCAACACCGCCCATAAATCAGAACTGCACATTCCATTCCTAGGCCTAACAAAATCATAATTTATTTATACCACGCCAATGTTGTTTGCGGCATTTTTAGCCCGAAACCCCGAAGAAACCAAAACAAAACAAAGTCAAACGAATATTATTAGCACAACAAGCTCTGCCTGGCCATAAATAAACATTTGCGTAGATTTATTCATTATTATTATTATTTTTATATTTTTCCGAAACCGAAAGTCTGGGGGCGGGGTTGAAATAAGAAATACGAAGAGAAAAGTTTTGCATTGAAGGATGTAATCTAAAGTGCTGATAACTCTAGCGCCAGATTAGATTTATAAATAGAATATCTGATCCCGTTTAAATATTCTATAACATTATACTAGAAATATTTGCGTCTGTGCCTTTGCAAAGATTTCACCTTCTTGAACTTGTTTTCATTTGACACAATTTAGTATTTGGTGATATGAAACTAAGTTTGCACCGACATTTAAAAATCATTGATGTGATTTCAAAAAAACCATTCTGAATTATTCACGGACCTATAGATGTTTGTGAATAATATTAATTATTATAGACTTGTCTATATGGTGTACACCCATATCGTCCAAATATATACGCAATTATCTGACTTGACTGACTATGGCTTCGTTTTTATTTTTATCACTTCAATTTCCGTTCGCTTACAAACCAACCAGTATTCTGATTGTATGGATATATACATTTAATTTTACTTCTTTACCCCTAAAAAGCTATACGCACGTTCTTTTTTCCGTTCAATCTTTGTTTTGTGTGTCTGCTAATATCGCAAATTGACAATAGAGCGCCAAAAAATGGACCGGCTTTTCAACCTCCTCCTCTTCCTCCCTCCTTTTCAAAACTTTTCTTTGTTTACCGATTTCGTTTCGAAAGAAAAATATAACTTGAAAGGCCAACAAATTAGCATAACATAAGGTACCTTCCAAACTATGACGTCAAGCAATGGAAAAAGAGATGGCACTGAAAGAAGAGATAGCTGCACAGGAGCATCCTGTGATTAGGAGAATTGGTCTCGGAAAAATTTTACGACGGGCAATACCAGGGAAACACCCAAATATATAGGAACCTCTTGACATTTGCCAGAAGAACATAATGGAATGGGATGAAGGAAGAGGGTGGAGGGGTACACACAGCGTGAAAATCCTGTGTCACCTTTTAAGAGATTCCATTGTTTTTTCGGCCTGCTAAAGTGCCAGCTTTATTCAACCGTTTTTCTTAATGATCTCGAAGTGGTAAATGAATTTGTTGCCCTCAGGAAATTATTTTGAATGAAAACATTAACGAGCTACCCACTTTTATTGCATTTCCCGAAACAAACTCAATAAAAGCAATACCTCAATTTAGGCAATATGCGAAAACGATTTTTATGATCGTTTGCCCCGTTTGAATCTGGAAATAGTAAGTGAATCATGGGAGTACTCAATTCTCATGGGAGTCCACAATTTTGCCGCAATCCGTAAATGGTTTTCACATTTCGGTGGAAATTGTTGGGCTGTGTTATCTTATCCCGTAAAGTGCGGAGTGTTTATAGGTCATGCAAATGCACAAAAGGCAGCTTTTTGTAGAGGAAACTGTGGCATATAAATTCTGTATCAGTATTCCAGTGTTTGTTTGTGTTGGGGGCTATCTACACATATATTCGATATGGAATGCGATTAGGAATGGGGCAGGAAGTTTGGGTTGCAAAGCAAACGGAACTATGGGAGGTTTGCGAAAAAGGGGAACGAAGCATTAAACGGAAGGCAAAGAGAATATCCAAAAAATGACAATACAATCTTTATACAAAATTTACTTTAACTTAGGCTTTATAACCGGTAATACGATTGGAATGCGGTTTAAATATTTGAATGACATCCTATTCACCGGATAAGGAAAATCCTTTGGAAAGAAACACAACATGTTCTACGTCCATTGGAGCTCTTTATGTGCTACACGGTCTAATCCCTTTTTCTGTTCTAAGCAACAGAAAATCTCCGGCAAACAGTCACCGCCCAACCATCAGTAATCAGCAAAAGCTGTTCCCACAAAGTTTACCATGGACTTCTTACTAATCCTTTTGCAAAATAAAGTTTTCCTCCTCTTTGCCACTAATTAACCTTGAAATTCAATCAAGTCCGGGCAATTATGCGTTCCTTGTCAGCCTTTGATGCTGTCTCTTTCGCAACGCCAGAAGCTGTATTTTTTCTGATTCAGGTTCAGGACAGCGGTGAAAACTTTATTAAGTCCCTGGACAGAATGGGAAATGCATAATGCATCGCGGGCAGATACGAATTCAGCCGATGTAAAATTCGTTTTAATTAAATGCCACTTTGTATGCATTTCTCGGAATTAAAACAATTAAGATGAGGCCAACTGGGGCACCAACTATATATGATATGATAGAATGCGAAATGTACACTGTTCTACAGTAGGGGTAAACAAAATAGTTATTCTGGAGCGATTATTAAGAAGAATAGAATATTTTAGCTCAAACAATAAACAATTTTATTAAATTAAACATAATATTTTGAAGTTGGAAAGTGCTATAAGTAATGGGAAAGAACAAGTTCAACACCTCAAGAAATTAATTTCTTCTCCAAAACTCATACTTCCCAATAGAGTATTTCGTTTTGAAAGTGTTCATCAACATTTTTCTGCTATTATTTCAACCGCGTCTGCCACTTGAACATATGAGTCCACACATTGCTTTAAACTGCAGCTTATGTATTGTAAACTAAGCATTTCCGTTGACTGAATTTAATTCAATTAGGTCTAGCAGAGTTCCAAACCTCCGCAGTGATCACCAGTTCTCTTCGAGGGAGTCAATGAACGATGCATCTCTCTCCGGAGACTGGGAAATCGGGAGATCCGCGCGATGAGAGGGAACTCGTCTGCTTTATTTTCTGTCTTCTGCCTTATTTCGTATGTTTTTATGGCCAGGCGGATACAAAGCTCCGCTCTGTTGGCAGTCGACCCTTTTATAGAGATTGAACTCGAGCTGCTGCGCATGCGCCATAAAAAACCACTTTGCGCCGAGCCGCCTGCATTTCCACTAGCTTTTCCCAACTGGCTTTTCTCCGAGTCTCCGATTCGGAGAGTTGTTTGCCTCATTTGCTGTTTTTAACGAATTCGTTGTTGCCGCTTTTTGTTTGGAGTATAAGTTTTTGGCTTGGGACGGGTCGACTGTGATACTGTTTTCGAGCCCCAGCAATTTTTTTTCAAATGTTTTCCACTGAATTTTCTCCTTAATAATTCAAATATTTACTTAATACAGTGTATCTTCAATACATTCATCGTACCGTTTTACACAAATAAGTTCGATTCAGTAAATTTACGAAATCACAGCCATACTGTATCAAGTTCATAAAACAAAATAACAAGTAAAACAGTAATTTCATCTGACCCTAATATTTTATTTCTGAACAAGGTTAAAATTAACTAAAAATAAAAGTTATTTTTACTATTTTAACCTCTCATTTAATAAGTCTCATTTAATAAGTTATGATTTTTATTACATTTTGTAGTACTTACAGAAGCTTATACCTTAAATTAAGAATTTAAACACGTTAACATAAAATAAATTCAGCTTTATTAGGTTTTACTGTAAAAAGTAAAGTAACACGTGGCACAATCCCAAGGCCAGCCGAATGGACCGTCTCTCATTACGATTTCATGATAATTCATCACAAAGGCGCTGGCTCCCACAGACCCCCTTCCCCTGAGTTTTCCCATCACCCTGGGCATCTCCTCCTCCTCCCTCTTGTTCTCCCATGAGGCAACTCTGCCAACTGGTCTGCCTTCACCGAAAAAAATTCAGCCACAACAACCAGAAAAAAAATCAGTACAATAACTGAGAGGCTGAGACAGTTGGCTCTGTTGCCCACCTACGTGCCAAAAAGCCGTTGGGCCAAATTTGTCTGCGGATACTGTGGGCTAGAGATCACAAGCATAGATTCTTTAAATATCAATGAAATTTAATTATGTTCTTTTGGTATTACCAATACAAATTGTGCAATTAAGAATTTAACTAATCAAAAGAAACACTAGTTCCAAACGTAAAAGTTTAAATAAACTTTTTAAAAAGTATGCATTAATTTAGATCAAAATCTTTTTCGTTTTTGGAGCTAAGGGGTCGTCTTAAATCTCCCCAAAATAATAAAACCTTTTATATAAACTTTC